GATCTCCTAAATGAGGTCAGTCAGTAGCCACTTGAAGATGTCTTGTACTAAACAAAGAAAGAGCAAGTGTGGTATTGGTACACAACCACAATGTACTGGTAGGATCACGTGGCTACTCCCATAAGCACAATATACAAAGACAATCACAATATAATAAGCACACATATACCGGTTACAATTAGTTATCATTTCAGGAACAATGTACTATTCCACATTCTCAATAGCAATAGATATAACAATACAATGGTCTTCTCATGAAACTCATACCCAAACTGTTAGTGTGCCGGAATGTGACACCCGATCCCAATTAGTGTGTCGGAACGTGACACCCGATCCAATCAACACAACCACAATCACATCCATAATGTACAATACTTAAATCATATAGTCAAGTACACAAGTTCATGGCATACATTGTTCATAGTCAATTCATTAGGATCGTTTCGACATTTTCATTCTTCGAATACATGCATGCATACAATATAGCAATCAATCGACATACAAAACACAAATAGGAAATCAAAACCATCACCTACCTCGAAATCTAGCTTGAATCCTCCTAAGACACTTGATTCTTCCCTTTTCGAATTCTTTCCGCTTGTTCGTGGTCTAAAAATAACAATTAAATATAAGGATCAATAATTGAGGCCTACTTACCCGAATTACAATCAACATTATCAATCCTAGGCCAAACTCAAGATCCCAATACCCAATTTAGGGCTTTTCCACCATTAACTTCATATCAAAACCTTCCCTCAATAATAATTACCCAAGAATCTAAGTTCTACGGATCGAAAGACGGATTAGGGGAGTAAAATCCTTACCTTTAGTGCTAGAAGAGGTGGAAAACCTTTAAGAAAAAGTCTTGGGTCGTCTCTTAGCTCTCAAGAACGAACCTTGCAGAAAAATAACGTTTTTGGGTTTTAATCCCGATGTAAGTCGCGTCTGGGTCGCTACGGCAGACCCCATCCCACCACAGTGGCCCCGCCCCTGGCGGCTTGCGCGGAGACAGAACGTCGGAATTAGAGTTTCAAACCCCCATTTCACAACACACCTTCAACCCATGACATTCAAAAACTCCCCGCTCACGCTAAGATCAGTTTCGGGAGTTCTACTCGCCCGAATTTGATTCGGTAAAGTCGTACGGTTTTCTTAACGTCTCAGCTATCCACTCATGTTATCAAAATCATAATTAGATCTCTCATTCATTACCAGATTTCCCTAGACCTCACATGACTCAGATTTCGTCCAAATCTGGACTAGGCTAGGAATTTCCAACTCACTACTCAAAAGTTTTTCTGGTCCAATTTTTTACCCATTGATTTTTTTATAACGACGGAATCAGGTCGTTACAAATAATCTCAATGCAAGAAATATAGAATAATCACAGAAATAAAATAACAAGAAACTCTCAAAGTAATACCATAATTATAATATAAAAAAATAATTAAGGAGAAAACAGAGCAGCCATGCTCTTTCATTGAAAAAATGATTAAACAAAAAGGCATAATCAATAATCATGTCCAACAGGATTTAAGCATATTTCTGTTTAATTATCCACTAATCACATTGGCCATTCTAGTAGAGGTTGCCAAATTTATTATCCCTTTTCGCTTCATTTCATTAAAGAATTTAATTGAAGAATCTGTTGAATAATATATTATTACTATCTCAAAAATAATAAGAATGATATTTGCAATTAATTTTGGTCAAAATAATTTATTATGTATTTATTAGCATTAATAACAACATTATCTGCTCTTATTTTTGGTCAAAATGTAACTGATTGCAAGCTTGTCTTTATAAGTTGGGTTTTGGAGATGTCATGGGTCCTCATGGGCAGGCATACATAATTTGTATGCTTCTGAATGAAATAATTTGGTATAGCTAATTATGTATGAGATGCATTGAACATTATGTAGCTTTTTGAGTACATAATTTGTCTGCTTCTGAATGAAATAATTTGGTATAACTAATTATGTATGAGATGCATTGAACATTATGTAGCTTTTTGAGTGTTTAGACACGGTTTCAGCTTAACGAGGACATGACCTTTAGACATGAGGTAGTGGACGACAAGGAGACCAGAAGATTAGTAGGTAGTAGTGCGCTATCTTGCTATCCACCCATACTTGTAGTTGTAGTAGTATTGTTCCGGTAGTTTCTTGTCCTTAATGATTTCTTTTGTTACTATAAAGTTCCCTATTTGATTTCTAGTTCATTGGAGACCTGTTTAGCGTAATCTTACGCTGTTTTGTCAATCAATTTTACTAGTAATTAATTAGATATGTTTTTTTTGTTGAAGAGTTTATTTTTTAAAGAAGATATCATAAGGTTTGTATGGTGAAAGTATGTGTAGGGATGTATGGTAAGCAACCTGCTTGAATTTGATATATTGATGTTGAAGCAAAGAGGTACTTCAAATATTTTCAGGCTTTGGCATTAATCATCATATCATCATATATATATGTGTGTGTGTGCTGCCCATCATGAAAAATTGGGACAAGTTTTAATAGTAATCTTGTGAACCATTATTGTTTGAATATGTACCATATAGTAGTTTTTGTCATTTTGTATGAGACAAGAAATATTGGACAAACTATTGGTACACACAAAAGTGATTTAATAATTAATATGATCTAATATTTGTCAACAGTTTGGATTTTATGGACACAATAGGTAATTAATTAAAGATAAATAATGATTTAATAATAATCATAATTGTTTGTTAATTTGTTCACTCAATTTGTTTCCAATTAGTATAATTAGGAGTAAAAAATTAGGGAAAATTGGAAATACACATGGAAACTAGCTAGAAGACAAAAAACAAGAAGATTTAGTTATACCAAGAAGTTTTCCGACAGAAAAAATAATACATGCATTACCTTTATTTATTATAGATATCTTATTTGTTCAGATTTTCAATTAATGCAATAATTAGTCATACATTCTATTTGGTATTTTATATAACCATTATATGACAAATCATGGTACCATTAGCAATTGATGGTTTTGTAATGCATGCATTCATTAGCATAGTTAAAGAGATAATTTTCCTTCAAAACTATTTTTACATTCTTTTCACGGTATTTGTGAAGAGTATTTTTTGTAAACAATTTTTTTTAATAGAAATTATGCAATGCATATGATTTTCAATACACCAGACCAAATAATGCATAAAAAAATATAAGCATAACTAATATTAGCATACCTAATCTCAGTATTACTAATACAATCAAACTTAATACTATCCATTTCCCCCCTAGTTATATTAAAAGTGGGAAGGTTCAAAGTACAAAGTTGAATTACCATTTTAGCCCTACAATAAATCAAAATATTATAAAACAATAAATAATAGATAACATCCTTTAAAATTTAAATAAACATTATCAGTTTCTCTTAATGTCCTGTCATGTACTAATGTGACCCCTCAACTTCTTCCTTCACTATATATGTAATTCATTAATTTGCAAGATACATAACAGGGAGAAAGCTCAAGCAGTTGGATAATGTCCATTTGTCCAGATTTCTTGTAATTGTATATAAATAGTATGTATTACTTATAAATTTGTAGTTCATATATTTTGCATGTATATAGTAGTGAATATTTTAGATTATTGTCTTTTCTTATTAGGGTCTTTCTAATATTTCATTTTTTTTTAATAGGGAAAGTATGACAAAAAGATATATTATTAGAATAACAATATTAATTATATGTAGATTGTGACAAAGGATTGTTGGAGTTCAACTATATTGTCATGTGTTTTTTTTTTTTTTAATATAAACTGCCTCCAATGATCATTGATATGAAAAAGTTACATTTTGAAGCTTGATATACTAAACTTAATACAAGATCTTGGGGTAGAACTAGAGTTAGATAAACTCTACAAGTTAACACCAAAAAGGGGGGGAGGGGGGGGGGGAGTCTAAGTTAGCTATTGCTCTACTAACTTGACTCCTTGACAAAGAGGATTCAGGGGGGTTCGTAAATAAAATTAGAAGGTTTAACCTGTTGCATTCTGAAGGAAGGGAGCTCCCATCTATATGTGTTAATTAATCCCCTAACTTCCCTCGGGAGATCAGAGAAAGAGTTGAACTCATGTATTGCATCAACACTATAACTCCTGGATGCTAATATATCAGCAGGTTTGTTGGCTTCCCTGAAGCAATGACTGATGATAAATCCATGAGATTCAACTATTTGTTGTGCTTCTTGAATCAATTTGTCCAATCTCCAAGGCGTTCTCCATTCTCCATTTATGCATTTAACTAAGAGTAGAGAATCTGTTTCTCCCCAAACCCTATCATAACCTCTACTAACACACCATTTAAGACCATATAGTAGTGCTCGGGCTTCAGCCATGTTGCTAGTACCTTGGCCTAGACCTAAAGAGTAGCAAACATCATGTTGCCTTGGTTGTCTCTGATTAGCCCTCCTCCACCACAGCTTCCTTGAATGCAACTTCCATCACTGTTGAGCTTAATAAAATTTCTAGGTGGTTTGAGCCATTTGACTCTGTTGAGCTTAATATCAAGTTTCTTATTCTTGATTGAAGGGTACACCTTCCACCTAATCTTTTATATAACTAAAATCTATTGAGTTGTTCAATTTTGCAGGTTTACACTTAGATCTAAGCACTCATTCAACAAAGAAATTTTAATAAGGGACAATACCAGTTTGTCATAGGATACAACAACACAGGGTTGAAGCTGCTTCACAAACTCTAGTGCTAAAAGAAGTCAAGATGCCTAAATACCTAAACTAAATAATAGTCATCTAAAATGTCTATAGGCATCATAATATCATCAAATACTAATAGCTATATGGCTTTAAATGAGGACGATAACTAAATAGGCTTGTAAGGTCTTTTTGCAAACAGAGTCATTACTTCAATGCCCTTGCTGCTCTGTGCTTCCAGTAGCCAGCCACTCAAGAGACAAGATGAACCAAAGAATATATAATATGAGCAAGCCACTAAACTAAATAAGAAAGGAACAAATACTGCAAAATTTTCGAATAAAACTACTACTGTGGTGAAAGAGATACACTTTCTGAATGTAGTTGGTATTACACATTGACTTCTCAAGAAAAGAGGTTGCTATTACACATTGATGGTTCATCAAAAACATCATTATAACCATAAGCTGTCATCTGACATTGATTCAACATCTGAATCGCGATATAAATGATCAAAAGGATTTTGCAAATACACAATATCGACATCAGACAGGAGGACACCGTAACCAAGCTGCAAAAACTCCCTCAAAATTCGGAACTTCACAGCGTGGTTGCCTCCACTTTTTCCAATAAAATCAACATTCTCATCAGGGTCCCTTTTATAAACTGGGACGTCATTTTCCTTGTAGAACTCCACTATAGCGTCATCTAAAGACACGACTAGATAATTGGGAATACCGATTTTTTTAATACTGTTGAACCAAACCTCCAACATGGATTTCACATTTGAATTAGCAAATGCAACTATGACCTCTTTGCCAACTGCAATCTCTGCCAAGAGCTTTGCTAATCTTGGGTTCACTGACTCATCAGGCATAACAGGAGGGTTAGTTCTCAAACTTTTGACAGTTCCACAAGGCCCAGCTTACTGAGGTTGATTCGACACCACCAGTTGCCGACCATTTCCCTGCTGAGCCGCCTGAAGCTTTTGATTTAGCTCTCTCACCTGCTTTTGCAACTCTGCATTCTTCTTAGACAACTTCCTATTTTCAGATTTCATCATGTTTACCCGCTCCATGAATTCACAGTTGGGCGAGTCAACCATTATTGGAAGCTAACTAAACTTCGAGTGCTATCATCATTTGGTTTTCCCAATTGTAGTCAAGCTCTCAAGTAGTTACATAGTGAGAGGAAAAAGAGCTTCATTTCTCATTTCTTAGATGAAGTTGTGGTATCATATTAAGCAAAAAAGGACCTTCCCCTATTAACAAGAGTAGTTCTATTAGCAATGACATAGTGACTTTATCAGCTGGAAAACCTCTCTGGATGATTTCCTTCAAAAGGGTCATTGCTTCATTAGTTTTATTACTCTTGAGAAATCCATGCACAATAAGATTGGAAGTGGCATTGTCCAGCAAGCACCCATTGTCCTCCATTTTTCTTAGCAACTCTTTGGCTTCATCTACTAAACCTTCAATACAAAGTCCATTTACTGTTACATTGTATCTTATAACATCAGGATGCAACCCTACGGAATAAAGCTTATCAAAAATAGAACGAGCTCTATCAAGCTTTTGAATTTTAAAAAATCCATCATTGCCTGTATTGTAGATCAAAATATAAGTATCTTCTTTTTGTTTTTCCCACCTGTGAAAGAGGGACATTGCTTTTTCTACATGTCCATTTTTTAAATAACCATGAAGCATAATGCCACAAGTGTAAATGTCAGGACTATGGCCTGCATTTTGCATCTCAGTAAAGAAATTTTCAGAACACTCAACTCTACCAACTTCAAAAAGGCCTTGCAAGATAGTAGAATATGTAACAATGTCAGGTTTCAACCCCTTTTGCGAGATTTCACAATATAAATGCATGGCCTCATCTAATTTCTTCTGCTTGCAATATCCATTGACTAATATATTGTAACTAAAGATGTCAGGCTTGACACCAACATCAATCATAGAGTCTAAAACTCTCCTTGCTACATCTATTTCATCGCGCAAACAATACCCTTCCATTATAGTGTTAAAGGTAACCACATCGGGATGTTCACCTTTTTGGACCATTATCTTTAACACTTCCACAGCATCTTCAACCATCCCTTTTTTACAAAATGCATCTACCAACATGCTAAACGTGTGCACGTTCGGGAAAATATTAAGATACATCATCTCATCCAAAAGAAGCCTAACTTTTTCCCACTGATCAAACTTACAGAAACCATCAACCAGTGAACTATACGTAAGTACATTCGGAGTAATCCCTTTTCGCTTCATTTCATTGAAAAGATTGAAAGCAGCACCTACCATTTGGTCTTTACAAAGCGCATCTACAACAATACTATACACAACTGTGTTAGGTTTGGCATCCCCTTGCTCCATTATCCTCAACAAACTAAGAGCTGTTTGAGTATGCCCTTGTTTACAAAGCCCATTCATGACTGTACCAAACATAACTTCATCCATCTTACAAATTTTCTCTTTCACCAGCTTCCTAAACAACCACATAGCATCCTGAATCTTATTTTGTTCAAAAAGTCCCCTCATAAGAGTACTGAAAGTAACCACATTAAACTGAACACCACTCTTGAAAAAAACACCCAATACCGAAAACCCATTCTCAGAACAACCCAGCAAGCAAAAAGAATTAATCACAATAGTCAAGATATAATCATCAAAGGGAATCCCTAACTTCCTCATCTCTTCGAAAAACGAAACAACAACAGAATATTCTTTCATATTAATCATCACCCTTAACAATTTTGCGAACTCTACAACAGAAGGAACTGGTTCTTTACGGACCAATTGATGAAAAACACAAACAGCATCGTTTAAACTATTCACATCTCTGAATTCCCTAAAAATTACAACTTTACGCTTCTTAGAAACCGATGGCTTTTTGCGAAACGAAGGATATTTAGAAGGAATAGAAGCGCACGAATGAAATATAGCTACATGGCCATGCGATATAGCAGCAAACAGTTGGATTAAAGGGAAGAAATTACCTCTAGGTTTTCTCCATGAATGAAAGAGCATGGCTGCTCTGTTTTCTCTAAGGTTAAAAGTAGCTCAAATTAAAGAACTTCAAAAATGACGACAATAGGGCTAGAACAGAGGAGGGATTTTACTGGATAATCTTTCGCCCGATCCTCAATCCTTTTCAGAATCATTGGCCTCAGCTTCCTCAAATCTACTTTCGGTTTCGAACTGAAGAATCTATAGTCACTTTGTAAATCATCTTTGTTTGCTGCCATAGCTGGCGATTTCTCAAAGCCATTGCAGCTCGGAGCTCAACATCGGAGAGAAGAAGAAGAAGGAGCGACATACCTTAGCTTATGTGGGCTTGTATGAGGAAAGAGGCCCAACTCTGAATTATGTGAGAGCCCAGACTTTTGCCATTCTACATTAGTGTGCTTTAAAAGTCTCTAATAATTTGACATAAATGACTTTTTGCCGACAAGAAATAAGTATGTCATCCAAGAAAATTAGTAAAAGAGATTGTGACTACCAAAGTTTGCATTTGTTATAGGGAAATATATAAATTGACTATGTAAAATTTTATCATATTTTTAAAAAATTCTTTATTTTGTTTGATATAATATAAATAGTCAAATAATATATGTGTTTGTGTATCAATATGTGTTTCAAATTCAGAACTAATATGAGATTTAGGAAAGAGAGGAGAAAGACGCGTGAAATTCGGGAGAGAGAGAGGAGCTTGTGTGTATATGCGTCTGTAATATGTGTATCTCAGTTTCAACTGAGATACAGTCTGTTCACCTTTCTCCTTTCTCAAACAGTTGCTATGAATTGTAATTAGACAAATTATAACTACTATTCATAAATATTGTGCAAAATATATTCATTTATGAAAAATTCTTCTTTGTAATTATTGTTCAAACTATAACTATTTATGAAAATTCCTCTTCATAATTCCTGCCAATGTTGTTGTAATTTAGGGATTATCAGCCCAATTATCAATACAAAGAGCCCTGGTGAGACTGAGCGGCCCACCAAATCTACAACCCAGTAATCCACGGGCCTTGATCGGCCCACATTGAAATATTTCCACCTACATTTGAAGCAAAATGATTTGTGAACATGTATTTGGGATGCATAACAAATCTCGTTTGTCTCCCTTGCATATATCCCATCTTGCTCGCTACTCTCCTATGTATCTAGTATCTCATATACATGCAAATCACACCAGATACATATAGATACATGTATCTAGTGTGACCCGCATGTATCTAGAATACATAACAAAATCGTGCTCGCCTCTCTCCCTGTTTTAGTGTATTTGATAGCAAAAATACATGTATTTAAGTGTATATTCTTCAATATATGGTAGGAAACTCTTAATTAGTGGTAAGATACATAATATTTTGAAAGTAAATATAGATAATAATAAGAATAATAGTAGTATATATAATAGCGAATTATATAGTGGTTTCTCCTAAAAAAATTATTGACATATATAGTTGTGGAATATATATATATATATATATATAAAATTCTAAAATGTTACCTTCTCTCCAAATGTCACACAACTAATCCACAACCTTGAACTCTATTTACAGCTTTTCTGGCCTAATATCAAAGATTAAAAAAAAAGGTTTATGTTGGTCATAGGTTCAAAGAAAGCAAAAAAATAATAATTAATTGTTGTTTGTTCATTAAAAGATAGGCAGCATATCAAACAAAACTAAGTTTGCTTTCTGAACACGGGGTGGGAATAGTCACTCATTCATCCTTAACCAGAAGTCTCGCTGTCAAGACTTGGATACGAGAGTCACCTTTGTTAGGAAAAACTTTACCTTCCACTGTGGGACTTCCTGACGCGAATTTGGACTAGTCTGACTCAATGCGGGTACCAAAAACCAAAAGGTAAAAAGAGTTGCTTTCACAACTGGTGAGGATTGGATTACACTTATATTTCTACTAAGTAAAAGGGAATGAGCAATCTATATGCATATACCTCCTTATCCCAATTAGTGCATATATTTATCGCGATAAGCGCCACATTTTGCACCAGCAATGCACAAATGATCCCCATCCATAGTCCCTAAAAGTATGAACATAAATCAAAGACAACGATCGATGAGATTCGGGGTAGTTAGTTTTGAGGGGATGTTAAAAGAGTAATAGAGATGTACCATGCCTCCAGTATCGAAAACGAATGCAAAGAGAACAGAAGAAGGTAATCCCACAACATAATAAGCTCCAAGATTGATAAATGCACAGAGTTTTTGCCATCCACATCCTCTAGCAGCCCCTGGAAAAGAAATAATGCAAAATGAGCATACTCCTCTAGCATGTAACGTTGTCGTTCTTAATACAGCTAACGAAAGATCAGTCGAGTACTTTTCAACCTGATAGCACACATTGGAAGCCATCCAAGAAATCAGATAAAGCAAGCAGAGGCAATATCTTGGCAACGTATTTGATCACTTCTTCTTCGTTGCTGTATAGCTTCCCCCACACAAAACGAACCAAAATGGTGGTGGTCGCGATTATCAATCCTACTGAGATGGCCACTATCACGACTACATGTAAAGCTAATCGTGCTCCTTGTGGACGACCAGCCCCCAATTCATTTGAAACTCTTGTGCTGATAGAAACAATTAGTTTAAGTTCATACATATCAGATCATGTGAGCACCGTGCATCGAGTTACCTTATAGCACCACCAAGTCCAACTGAAACCATGTACACCATCCAACAAGTATTGAGACTGAAAAGAATTTCAAAAGAACTTGTGTAAAGGTATATACAAAGCAAAGTAAACAATAAGAAGGATGTTAATAGAACACGAACCTTATCGATAACACTGATGTCTCTAATTTAGGATTAGGGAGAAGGCCAGATAACAGAACAACCATCTCAAATGACCAATATTCGAAACTGAAACCAGAGCGATAATACGTTAAAAAGGCCAGTTAATTCATAACAGATATGGCTAGTAATGGATTGGAAAGAATAAGAACATATATGCATAAGCACATTAACGAGTAAGTACATTGAACATATTGATTAGTGAACAAAATGAGATTACACTAACCAGATCATAACAGCAGAAGGAATGGCAAGCTTGATAAAATCCAGAATGTCGTCTAAAGCTTCCTTCGAAAAACCAGTCCAAGTTTTTCTACAAGCCGGGGAAAATTTAACATAACCAGCTAATAAAAACACGTTAATCCAATACGAAATGGCATTAGCCAAAGCAGCTCCCTTGATTCCAAGAACAATCTTGAACACGAAAAGCCAACATATAAGAATGTGTAACAAAGCCGTGAAACCAGAAGTCAACATCATGGGCATCACTATATTTTGAGTCTGTAGAAATCTGTTGAGGCATTGAAGGATGCCATACGCGAAAAGGCCTGGGATCATCCATCGATTGAATTGTCCTGCTTCGTTAGATATATCACGGTCTTGACCACAAGCTATGAGAATTGTGCTGGTGTTGAACCATATCAGTAAAAGCAAAATGCTCAAGGAAAGAAGAACTAGCATTGCTCTTTGTGTGTAAATGCCAAGCATATGGTATTGCTTAGCTCCATAAGCTTGCCCACATAGCGTTTCCAGTGCACTTCCCATTCCTAACTACCAAAAAAATCGTGAAAATCAAGGAATGAAACTTCGAGATGAGAAAGGAACTAGCTCCCAATTAGCTCATTCGGGCACATAGGTGAACTTGTCTATTCTGCGAGTTCAACTGAACCTATTACTTTACACTCGAACTATGTATACTTATAACAAAAAAAAGGGAATTCCTTATCTCTGAGTGTGATTTGAACTATTGGTTTACGCAATTGGAAATAACTATTAGTTTTGCAACCAAAAACTATAAATCCATCACTAATCCAATTTGAGTACCTCCGTAGGATAAACCTCAACACGAGATAATGAAGAGCAACAACATCAAGTGATTGAGTTAAGTAGTTCGTCATATAAAATTATCAACCCCGGAGATATAGTAATAATAAGAAGAAGACAAAATTGTTTCAAGCACCGAAATCAAACACGTTAATCACACTATGAATCCACTAACTCTCAATCATGGATTCACCTCTGTTCGAGCTGCACACAAATCCATTCAATAACCACTCACCATGATTTGAACAAACAATAGCAAAATGACACATGTTATCACATTTTTGAATCCACTAACTCTACATCATGAATTCACCTCTATACATTTAGTTTTATTTTCTAAATATATCTACTTCTTCTTTTTTAATATCATGACACCCCTCAGTAAAATTCCTAGCTTTGCCGCTATGTGCAACATACAAATTCAATCAATAACCATTAAGCATGATTTGAACAAACAATAGTAACATGAATCCACTAACTCTAGAGTCTAGATCATGGCTTCGCCGCTATGTGCAACATACAAATTCAATCAATAACCATTAAGCATGATTTGAACAAACAATAGTAACATGAATCCACTAACTCTAGAGTCTAGATCATGGCTTCGCCGCTATGTGCAACATACAAATTCAATCAATAACCATTAAGCATGATTTGAACAAACAATAGTAACATGAATCCACTAACTCTAGAGTCTAGATCATGGCTTCGCCGCTATGTGCAACATACAAATTCAATCAATAACCATTAAGCATGATTTGAACAAACAATAGTAACATGAATCCACTAACTCTAGAGTCTAGATCATGGCTTCGCCGCTATGTGCAACATACAAATTCAATCAATAACCATTAAGCATGATTTGAACAAACAATAGTAACATGAATCCACTAACTCTAGAGTCTAGATCATGGCTTCGCCGCTATGTGCAACATACAAATTCAATCAATAACCATTAAGCATGATTTGAACAAACAATAGTAACATGAATCCACTAACTCTAGAGTCTAGATCATGGCTTCGCCGCTATGTGCAACATACAAATTCAATCAATAACCATTAAGCATGATTTGAACAAACAATAGTAACATGAATCCACTAACTCTAGAGTCTAGATCATGGCTTCGCCGCTATGTGCAACATACAAATTCAATCAATAACCATTAAGCATGATTTGAACAAACAATAGTAACATGAATCCACTAACTCTAGAGTCTAGATCATGAATTCGCCTCTGTACAGTTAGTAAAGCCAACTTTTAGTTTTATTTTTTTAAATATAATTATGACACCCCTCAGTGAAAATCCTGGCTCTGCCACTGCTGATGCAACATACACATCCAATCAATAACCATTCAAGATGATTTGAACAAACAATAGTAACTAACAAAAGAAGTTAACTTACCAAAACACTGAATCCAGTGACTGAAGCAAAAGAAGTAGCCATAGAAGCACCAGAGAGAGGCAATTCACCCAAATGTCCAACAAACATGATGCTAATAACTTGAAGACAATATTGCAGAATATTAACTGCTATAAGAGGGACAGCAAGTCCTAATTGCCTCTTTATTTCTTCAATGATTTCTCCTCTACAATATTCTTGT